GTACCTTCCACCTGGCATTGCTTCTGAGTAGCATTGTGAACCTCTTTGGGCAATTATGTTGGCTGGTACTTTGGCTCCTTTGCCTCCCAGCACCAGCTGATGCCCTAAGCCGAGTCCCAGTTGGACAGGCTTTGTTACTCAGTGCTGTAGCTATCTCCATCCACGGCATTGTTCTAGAGACTTCCAACAGGGCAGATTTGTGCAGTTGGCCCATCTGGACAATATCTGTAACAAGTAGAGCTCTGTGCAATAAACTCATCTCCATAGTCCACCCCCCCCCACTCCTCCGCCTTTGTGCTGCAATAGCCTGACACTCCAGGCCTGCTATGGAGAGTATCAAAGAGACACTCTCTACTCCTTTCAAATGGATATCACTGTGGCTTCTCATTGATTGGCACTACCTGGGCAAAAAGTGGGTAAAGATGGGCTTTTCTCCTCTCAATTTAGTCTCCTCCCTTAAACCAGTTGTTTTGTTTTGAATCTATGTGGTGCTTCATCATTGGTTACCATTGCCAGTAAAATTGTAGTCAGCCTGAATGCCTTTCCCAAAGCCAAGAGATGGACGAAGGTTGTATATAGCAGTGAACAGGGAAGGCAGAAAAACAAGCTTAATATGGAAAAGGAGAAAGAAAGCTGAGCTTGCTTTTGTAGTTGATTTGCCTCCACAATTTAGTTTGATCGTTGGATTTTTTCACTTTCAATTTTGAATACTGTATTAGGAAGGAAGAAAGGGAGAGAGGGGAGAAAAGAAAGGGCAGCGGGGAGGGGGAGAGAGATTGGATTCATATAGTTGATTATTCAAGATTCAGAGAAAAAGATAAGAGGTTTAAAATGTAATTTGATCTCTCTTTTTTCCAGCTGTTAGACCCACACTTTCTCTAATCTCTCCTGTTTCTGTTCTTCCTTATTAGGTCATTTCGGAGGACTTAGTGTACCAGGCCTATGCTGTCATGTGTTCCTGGGTATTATTGTCCTGAGACAGCCTCTTCCATACCAAACCCCTCTAGCTGGTATTTCTGCTGTGATATTCCTCTTTCTGTGGAAATAAAATGGACAAAGGTGAAAGATGAAGAAACTCCAATTTAAGACTCTCTAACACCCACAAGTACTATTGTGAGGTAGGCCAAGCTAGTGTTTGTCCAGAATCAGAGCCCTCTGTGTGAAAGCCCACTCTAGGCACTTCAAAGCCAAGCGTGACACCATTATTTGTTTACCAAGAGGGTGCCAAGGAACAGGTTGGAAGTGAAGGGTCCTGGGCAGTAAAAAGACTTTAGAGACAAACAAGAAGTAAATGAAAACCCAGTCACCTGGGAGGATAGTTTCTATATCCCAGTTCCCCTGAATCATACTAGCTTGGGTCTCACTTTTTTGTTGTTGTTGTTGGGGGGGGTCTCACTTTTATGGAAAGTTTACTAGCATCATGAAGTAAACTATTTAAAGAATAAGCTGTTGTGGTATGTTGTTTTTGGGGGGCTTTTTGGTGTTTGTTTTTTTTCTCCTTTGCATATATTAGGTACGTAATAGACCTTGTGACCATGCTAGTTAAGGAACAAAACAGTTGTTTCTAGGACTAGGAATTTCAAGTGGTATTCCACTGGAACTTTTAAGTAGAAGTATGTTGTTGTTGTTGTTGTTGTGTGTCACTGAGTCTCCTGTAACCCATAGCGACCCTCGTACAGTCGCTCTGAATCCTGCCCTGAGCCAGTCTCTCTAATTCCAACACACCAACCCCCATTGCCCCAGTCGCTGTATCGATCCATCTTATCCGGAGTCTTCCTCTACTGCACTGTGCCTCCACCCTTCCAAGCATGATGTCCTTCTCCAAGGATCAGTCTCTCCTGGCCACATGCCCAAAGTATGTGAGACCGAGTTTCAGAATCCTAGCCTCTAAGGAGAAACTTGGTTTCACCCTCTCCAAGACAGACCTATTTGTTTTCTCGGCAGTCCGTTGTATTTTCAAGACTCCTCTAGCACCACAATTTGAATGCATTGATTCCTCTTCTGTCATCCTTAGTCATTGTCAAACTTTCTGACATAACAAGTAATTGTGAAGACTATGGCCTGGATTGTTGTTGTTGTTGTTATGTGCCGTCGAGTCGCTTGCGACTCATAGAGACCCTATGTACAACAGCCCTAAACTCCGCTCTGTCCTGTGCAAATCGCACTGTCTCCGACACTCCCATCCCAATTATCCCAGTCACTGAATCAATCCACCTCATAGAGGGCCTTCCTCTCCTGCGCTGTCCCTCCACCCTCCCAAGCATGATGTCCCTCTCTAAGGACCGGTCTCTCCTCACAGCATGTCCAAAGTATGTTAGACAGAGCCTCGGAATCCTTGCCTTCAAGGAGCCACCTGGTTTAACCCTTTCCAGGACAAATCTGTTTGTTTTCCTAGCAAACCATGGTATTCTCAATACTCTCCTCCAGCACCACAGCTCAAAGGCATCAATTCTCCTTCTATCCTCCTTGGTCATTGTCCAACTCTCTGATACATAACAAGTGATTGCGAAGAACATGGCCTGTATCAGACGCACCTTAGTCTCCAGAGAGACACCATTGCTCTTCAGTACTTTGGAGAGGTCCCTAACAGCAGACTTTCCAATGGTAATGCGCCTTTTAATTTCCTGGCTGCTGGTGCCAAGACTGTTGACTATGGAACCAAGCAAACTAAAGCTGTGTACAATTTCAATCTCTTCACCATTCATCCTGATGCTGCCAATTGGTCCAGTGGTGAGAATCTTTGTCTTCTTGACATTCAGCCTCAATCCATATTGTAGGCTGCAGTTCTTGACACTCTGCAGCAGGCGCTTCAGGTCCTCCTCAGTTTCACCAAGCAGGGTTGTGTCATCCGCATAACGTAGATTGTTGATAAATCATCCACCAATCTTGACCCCACATTTCTCCTCATAGAGCCCAGCCTCCCGGATAATCTGTTCTGCATATAGGTTGAAAAGGTATGGAGATAGGATGCATCCCTGGCGTACGCCCTTCCCAATTTTGAACCATGCAGTGTTCCCTTGCTCTGTTCTGACGACTGCCTCCTGGTCCAAATATAAGTTTCGCATTAGAACGATCAAGTGTTCTGGGATTCCCATTCTTCTCAGAGTCGGCCATAGTTTGTTTTGATCTACACAGTTAAATGCCTTTGCATAGTCAATGAAACACAGATAGACATTCCTCTGGTATTCCCTGCTTTCAGCCAAGATCCATCTAACATCAGCTACAATGTCTCTAGTACCACGACCCCTTCTAAACCCAGCCTGGACTTCTGGTAGTTCTCTGTTGATGTGCTATTCCAGTCGTTAGGCGCACCTTACTCTCTAGACTGAAATTGTTGCTTTTCAGTATTCTGGTGAGGACCCTGACAGCAGATTTCCCAATTCAGTTCATCTTCTGATTTCCTGATTGCTGGTGTTAAGAGTGTTGATTGTGGAGCTGAGCAAGCTGTAATTTCTAACAACTTTAATCTCTTCTCCATCTATCATGGCACTGCTGATTGGCCCAGTGGTGAGTATCTTTGTCTTCTTGATGTTGAGCTTTCATGCATATTGAAGACTACAGTCCTTGACCTTCTGCAGCAAGCTCTTCAGGTCTTCTTTAGTTTCAGCAAGCAAGGCTGTGTCATTTGTGTAACATAGGTTGTTGATGAGTCTGCTTCCAATCCTGATGCCTTATTCCTCCTCATAAAGCCCAGCTTCCTGAATTATCTGTTCTGCATATAGATTGAAAAGGTATGGACACAGGATCCATCCCTGATGCACTCTTTTCCTGACTGTGAGCCATGCCTACTCTGTTCTGCGTACTGCGTCCTGGTCCAAGTATAAGTTTCACATAAGTATAATCAAATGTTCACGGAGTGATCCACACAGTCAAATGCCTTTGCATCGTCAATGAAACACAGATAGACATTCCTCTGGTACTCTTTGCTTTCTGCCAAGATCCATCTGACATTGGCAGTAATGTCTCTAGTACCATGACCTCTTCTAAACCCAGCTTGTATTTCTGGTAGTTCTTTGTCAATGTACTGTTCCAGTAATTTTTGGATAATCTTCAGCAGGATTCTGCTAGTGTGTGATATTGTTTGATAATTTCCACCCTCTTTTGGGTCACATTTTTTTGGAATGGGAATAAATATTAATCTCTTCCAGGCAGTTGGCCAAGTAGTTGTCCTCCAGATCTATTGGCACAACTTGGTGAGCACATCCAGGACAGCATGTTCCTTCCCCTGCATTGACTGTTTTGGGCACCCTAGGACATGTGGAGAGCTCTTTGTTGGGCTGGATAGCAGTCCCTTACCCCAGTGCAGCCCATGACTATTCATTCTAACTTGGCTGAGGGCTGAGGAGGCTGTTATCTCTCCTTCCTTCAGCCAGTTCAGGAAATTTGACTGACTCATACAAGTGAAGCACTTGTGGAAGGGAAATACTGCAGTAGACGAAACAGCAAAATGAGGGCTAGGCTCTGGGTGGGGTGTGGCATAAAAAGAATGGTACAGATTAAGATTTTTCTTAAAAAAGAAAGCTAGAATCCAGTAGCTATATGGCCTAAGTCATCTTGACAAGAGTATGTATTAGAAAACAGAGAAGCTTCACCAAGGGCAGAATGCTATCCTTGTCCCAGGAATGTGACCAGACATTAATCTCATAAGAAATGGGCAAGTGGTTCGTATCCACCAGATGCTCCTCTGGAGAAGGAGGGGCAATCTCCTCCTGTGCCAGTCAGATTCAATTTGACAGTACAGACATACAAATAATAAAAAAAAGAAATGGGTGAGCATGGAGAAAATCTGAATTAGGGTAGATAAGCCATTTTAATAAGTACATATAACCACCATTGGTACCATGCAGTGTAGGCCTACATAGCATTGGGATTGATCGTTGAAATTCTGAGTGGGAGGTCAGGGAGGAACTGAACAAGCCCCTGATGGAGACTAATGGAAGGGGAAGCCCATCTGTGAGGAAGCAGAAATCCAGTATGTGTACTCTATAACCCCACCCTATTCATAGTGTCTGATGGATATCTTCTGATTGTAGTACTTTATAGACAACCCAGTAGAAGATGTTGAAAATAAGGAAAGTGAAAGGGAAGACAGCCCGAGAGATGGTGTCAATCCTTTTGGCTCGATCCACGTAGAGTTTCCTCATGGTCTCTCCCTCCCTTAGAAGAGAAGTTGGAGGTTGGGGGCTATAAATCCCAGAACTTTGCTTTGGGCCTCCATCCCGTGACTGTAAGCAATGGCCAAGGCCATAACCTCGGAAATAGAAGCGACTTTCTCGGATAATATCTTCCTCCTGGAATTACAAAGGGGTGGGTGGAGGGAAAGGCAGAATTGAGGTCACAATTCTGAGGCATAGTAATAAATACCAGACTACACACAAACTATCTTATAGGTGATTCTGTGCAGGTCAAGAGATGTATGCTAAACAAATTACATGGTATATGTAGTATACATTATATAGTCTTTTGCAGATAGGCCCAAGCTGCCTTTTAAAAATATACAAAATTTTGGTGTTGCTGTTGTTAGGTGTTGCTGAGTCAAATATGACTCATAGTGACCTAACAAACAACAGACTTGGACCCTATCCTATTCGGTGCCATCTCATCATCTCTAACACACGTGAGTCCATTGCTGCAGTCACTGTGTCAATACATCTCATTGAGAGTCTTCCTCTATTTTGCTGACCTTCCACATTTCCAACTATGAAGTTCCTTTCCAAGGAATAACCTCTCCTAGCAACATGCCCAAATTATGTGAGATAAAACCTCACCGTTCTTGCCTCTAAGGAGCACTGTGGCAAACCAAGATAAAAACAAATCCAGTAAGTCAGATGAAAGAATATTTTAAATAGCAAAATAACTTGACTGTTGTGGCATCAGGATTGGTGGAAGAATCATCAACAACCTGAGTTATGCAGATGACACAACCCTGCTTGCTGAAACTGAGGAGGACCTGAAGCGCTTGCTGCAGAAGGTCAAGGACTGTAGTCTTCAATATGGATTGAGGCTCAACATCAGGAAAATGAAGATTCTCACCACTGGGCCAATTGGCAGCATCATTATGGATGATGAAGAGATTGAGATAGTTAACAGTTTTAGTTTACTTGGTTCCACAGTCAACACTCTTGCTAACAGCAACAAGGAAATCAGGAGATGAATTGCATTGGGAAAGTCAGCTGTGAGGGACCTCTCAAGAATACTGAAGAGCAACGACATCAGGCTGGAGACTAAGGTGCGCCTGATCCAGGGTATAGTCTTTGCAATTGCATGCTGTTCATCAGAGAGTTGGACAGTGAATAGGGATGATAGAAAGAGAATTGATGCCTTTGAGCTGTGGTGCTGGAGAAGAGTGTTGAATATACCATGGACTGCTAGGAGAACAAACAGGTTTGTTTTGAAGAGGGTGAAGCCAGAATGCTCCTTGTAGTCAAGGAGTCTGAAGCTTTGTCTGACATACTTTGGGCATGTTGCAAGGAAGGACTGGTCCTTGGAGAGGGACATCATGTTTGGGAGAGTGGAGGGATGGCGCGGGATAGGAAGACCTTCGATGAGATGGATCGCTTCTGTGATTGGAGTGGTGGGTATGAGTGTGTTTGAGACCGCGAGGTTGGCACAGGATTGAACAGCGTTTAGGGCTCTTATACGTAGGGTCGCTATGAGTCGCAAATGACTCAGGGGCACATAACAACAACAACAACAAAATGACTGGGTAAAATATATATTTATTTTTAAATACTATAAAACATAAACTGTCTAAAATTGACACCACATCTATTAAATTTTGTGGAACAGGAAACAATATAGAAATGAATATATTTAAAAAGGAGCATTAAGGCTGCACTTTTCCCAAGGCATATCTGTTTATTCTTTTAGCTGTCTGTGGGATAGTCAGTACACTTCTCCAAAACCCCAATTCAAAGGCATCAATTCTTCTGTCATCCTAATTCTCAGATATATAGCAAGCAATTGAAAAGGCGATGGCTTGAATCAGGTATACCTTATTCTTCAAACTAACATCATTGCTCATCAGTATTTGGAGAGATACCTAACAGCAGACTTGCCTAATGCAATAAATCTGATTACTGGTGCCAAGGGTGTTGATGGTAGAGCACCTAAGACTCAGTGTAGTGCCAATCCATGGTAGAAGGGGTTTATAGGCATCTCAATGTCAAGTTATCTCTGACTAGTAATAAATAAAATGAACAGAGCAATGAAGCCATTACACAGCAGAGCTGAGACATTTGAACTTGGTGAATTTTACTTCAGTGGCTCTCAAAAGCTGCAGAATTAGTTCTCCTGTTGGATAACAGACTCACTGATGTTGTTGTTGTTGTTGGTGGGTGCCATTGAGTCAAGTACAGCCCATGGTGAACAATAAATTTGAACCCTTATTTTTTGCCAGTGCCTTTCAATGCATCTTCATCTTCCTCCTTCATTATCATTGGCTCCTGCTCATATGCTACTTCCTGAAACTTTTCAGTGTCAGTCAGTTCTTTTTGATCTTAGCCAAAAGGCCAAGAAGCGATAGTCAGTTATTTTTGGTACCGTGACTGTATATTCCCTCCATCTTCTTTTGATGCTCTCTGGATCATTCAATATATTGCCAATAGCATCTTTCAGTATTGTGACTCGAGACTTAAATTTTTCAGTTCTCTCAGCTTGAGAAATGCAGAGCAAGTTCTTCCCTTTTTATTCTCCAGTTGCAGCTTTTTACACATTCCATTATAATACTTTGCTTTGTCTTCTTGAGCTGCCCTTTGAAATCTGTTTAGCTTTTACTTTGGCATATTTTCCCATTGTTTGGCTTCTTGATGCTCTAGTACAATTTTCAGTCTCTTGACATCCATTTCTCTTCTTTCTTTCTCCTCTGTCTTTGTAATGACCTTTTGCTCTCCTCATGGATAGTATCTTTGATATCATCCTACAACTCATCTGATCTTCGATTGTTGGTGTTCAATGCTTCAAACCTATTCTTTTTTTTTTTTTTTTTTTCAGCATCAGCATCGCAATTTATTCTCCGGCAGCTGTGGCCCGGGAGGGGCAGAGCGAAGAGAGGAGAGGGACAGACCGGGAGGGATGGGGTCGGGGAGGCCCCGAGAGTAGCAGGGTCACGGTGCGGGTGGGGGGTTCCGAGCAGAGTGGGAGCCATGCACTGGTGAGCAGTGATGGGTTTTGGGGAGGGGACAGCATAGACCGAAGCTGACGGGCAACAAACCTATTCTTAAGATGATTTTGAAATTCAGCTAGAATAGATTCAAGATCGTATTTTGGTTCTTGTGGACGTGTTTTAATTTTCTTCAGCCTCAAATTGAACTTGCACATAAGTAATTGATGGCCTAGTTTTAACTGCTTTTCCAAGTATTCCTTCTATAGATGTAGTTACCCTGATTCCTATGCAGCCCATCAAATGAGGTGCATGTGTAAAATTGTCATTTATGTTTTTTAAAAAAGGTATTTGTAATGAATAAGTCATTGAAAATATAAAATTTGATCATTCAATTTCCAGTTTCATTTCTATCACCAAGCCTGTATTTTCTGACTAATCGTTCTTTTCAATTTTTGCATTCCAACCACCAATTACCATTAACATACCTTGAATGCATGTTTGGTCAACTTCAGACTGCAAGATTTGGTAAAACTTTTCCATTTCTTCCTCTTTTGCTCTAGACGTAGGAGTGTATATTTGAATAATAGTCGTATTAACAGGTTTTCCTTGTATGTGTATGGATAACATAATTATTCATTGAGCTGGCTCAAAGCGATCTTTGTACCTAATATCTTTTGCAAATTATTTATCTTGACTAAAAGCTAAACATTCTAAAACTTTCAGACGATCCTAAGCAGCTGTTCAGATTAAGGTAAGTGTGATTACTCAATTGCAGGTATCTGTACTTCTCTGTAAATCAGCAAGTTTTGACATTTGGGGGGAAAAAAAAGCAAAAAAACTGTTGTGATTGTGGCTGACTCATGAGGACTCTGTACAGAGTAAAACAACTCCATCGGGTTTCCAAGGCTAAATATTTATGAAAACTGATTGTCACTTCTTCTGCAGAGTGACTAGTGGGTTGCAACTGTCAACCTTTCAAATAGCAATTGAGTGCTTAACCACTGCACCATTAGGATGTCTTATATTTTGCCGTGCTGTTGTTGTTATGTGCTATTGAGTCAGAACATATCTATAGCTGGCCCTCCAGTGGGTTTTTGTTGTTGTTGTTTTTGTTATGTGCCATTAAGTTGCTTAAGACTCATAGTGACCCTATGTACAATATCTCTGAACCTGCTCTATCCTGAGCCAACCTCATTGTCTCTGACACACCTATCCCCATTTCCCCAGTTACTGAGTCAATCCGTCTCATCCAGGGTCTTTCTATCCTGCACTGTCTGTCCCTCGACCCTTCCAAGCATGATATTCTTCTCCAAAGACTGGTCTCTCCTGGCTACATGCCCAAAGTATATTAGAAAGAGCTTCAGAATCCTAGCCTCCAGGAAGCAGCTTGGTTTCACCCTCTCTAGGTAGACCGGTTAGTTCTCTTGGTAGTCCATAGTATGTTCACTACTTTTCTCCAGCACCACAATTCAAAGGTATTGACTCTTCTTCTGCCATATTGGTCATTGTCCAGCTATCTGATACATAGCAAGTAATTGGGAAGACAGTGACCTGGATCAGGTGTACCTTAGTCTCTAGACTGACAGCCTTCTCTTCACTCTGGAGAGGTCCCTGAAAGCAGATTTTCCTAATGCAATTTAATTTTTGGTTTCCTAACGGCAGGTGCCAAGAGTGTTGATTGTGGTGACCTGAAATCTGAGGGGTGGGGACTGGATTTATCTATTTAGGCTAAATTCTGACTTTGGGTCTATATTGAGGATGGATGCTGGAGATTTAACCACTTGGTCCTGTATATAGTTGTTGAAATAGAATAGAAACAAGGATGGGGATGGTGAGATGTCATCTCATATCCTTTGGGGCATGTTTTCAGGAGGGACCAGACCCCAGAAAATAATATGCCAAGAAAGGTACAGGGTCAGTGAAAGAGAGGAAGACCCTCCAGAAGATGAAGTGACTGTAACAATGGGCTCCAGTATATCAGAGATTATGAGAATGGTGCAGGATCAGGAAGGATTTCATTCTGTTGTATATGGGGTTGCTATAAATCTGAACCAATTTGACAGCACTTAACATAATGTACAAGATAAAGGATTGGAAGGACAGAATCCAAAACCAACCTTGGCCTGGAATGCTATGTAGGAGGGAGGATGTGGAGGTAGGGAAGAGTCTGTTGAGAGATGAAGACAA